GTGAAGTATGGGCTTGGATATTAATGGGAATGAAAGAAACACTGTATATAGAGGGGATAAAATTGATGACATTGAGTAACAAATTAAGAAATGTAACAAAAATGTAAATTATAAAATAGGATAACTTAGAGCCAGTTGATTAGTTCTTTTAAGATATGGATGACATGTAACAAACCTTTAGAGTAGATTTTCATGGAAATGAAAAAAAGGATTAAAGCATTCTAGGAAATGGATGAATGAAATAGATTTTTTGTGACAATAACATTCTGTAATTTTGGTATAGGAATTATTCTATTGCAATTCTTGTAATTTTTTGGAGCAATCACCATTACTTTTGGTATTGTTTGTGCTCATTTGAGATAGAAATTAATGAGCACAAGCCATAAAAGCACTGAGTTCTAACTTAACAAGAAGCACTGAAAGGAATCAGAACGGGAACTTTTGAAATAAAACCTTTTTCTATGAAGGAAGAGTAAGGATTTGATACTACAGTAACCAGAAAAGTCGCAAGGAAGTGCACAGTAAGAACACTTTCATGAATCACAAGAAACAATATTAATTTAGTAATTTAAGCCATAGGAGCAAAAGCAATATGCCATTTAATAAGTTGTATGCACAATGGCAAATTATAAGGAAGGCCTGCTAACCATAAAAATAAAAGGAGATAGTTCTCTCAAATTCTAAATGTATGATGCAGAAAAGATATGGTATTGATAGAGTTCTGACCAATGAATTTTGATTAATAACACTTTATTCGCTACAACGTTTATGATTCCAGTTTATTGCTCAGTTATTTTTGGGATATCATATCTTTTCCATATCATAGTCCAACCAAAACAAATAACAGGAAGCCAAAAAATTGTTTTTGCATGCTCATATGGAAAACCATATACAGTTTTTAATGCTAATGGCCATAACTAGGAATTGATTATTATAGTTATATCCTGTTTAAACACTGATCAGGGGGTATTCTATAACTTGAATTGTTTTTCTTGTTGCCGGTTCCAAAAACAAATCAAAACCACCTGATTTGAAAAAATATAGTCTTCGTTGTGTATGGCTTTTTTTTTTCAAACTGAAACCAAAAACATGTTCTGAATTTCTGATATAAAAAATGTTTTCATTTGGTTATTTAATACCACATTCCATAAATCATAATACTTCCATACTGTAGAATTTGTCTTTGTTTTAAAAGCCATTATTTTGGTGGTCCAAAAACATGTAACGTTTTTTTAAACAAAACTAACTTGTTTTTACGTTTGAATTTTTGTTAATGTGGTGATTTCAAATCAATAAAAACAAAAGCATTCATGTTGTCGAACACCCTTAAATTGGGGAAATTTCTATTGTGGAATGACTGGGGTGCTAATTGATTTATGGCTTTGAAGGGAGATTAAGATACATTTCCTGCCTACATTTTATTGTTTAGAATATTAAATTGATAGAAAACATCTTGTGTATTATTATGCCGAAACTTTATGGAAACAAACTAACACTTTTCAATGGATCTATTTTTTCTCATATAGGCTGTAATACAAGTACACATTTCTAAAAATGAAAGTTAGGAGTTTCAAACATATAATATTAACATAAACTAAAGCCAGATTAATGTATTGGATGTTATTTTGACATTCTTGATGATTGAAAAACAATATCAATAAAACTGCGAAGGAGAAATAATTACCTTCTAAAATAAGTAAAACCTCTTGGATAGTGTGTTAATAATAAATTGCAAGTGATAGCACAGCAGGCATACATGACGACCAAAAAGTCATGAAAATTCGTTGTGGCCAAAAATACAAATTGACCTTAAAGAAATCCACATATGTGTGTGTTGATATATGGTATTTATATCATTAATGGCGCTTTCATAAGCTTGTTTTTCAGATAGATGAAACCTTCATAAACTTTTGAACAGTACTATTACTTAGTTTCCCTATCATTTGCAACCGTAGAAGGTTTAGTATTTCTCATTTGGCTTCTCTTTTGTATTAGATTTCAAGTACATTTTAAGCTCTTCAACTTTCTCATTATTTGAAATGAAGATTTTGATTCCTAAGATAAAACTTATATTATGAATTAAAAGTAATAAAATTAATGCTTTTGAAAATTATGAAAGTTAGAAGCATCTATTGTTGCTAATAGATCCTTAACCCAATGGGCTCCATTCATCTGTAGCATGGATCTAATCAAGCCGGACAATAGTTATATTCTTCTTATTATGCAGGCATCTGTTCTTTTTGTAGTGAATTTTCCTGGTCTTCTGTTTTATGAAGTAGTTTTGTTGCTTGTTAATGTTAAATTGAATGTTAGAAATACCAATAGGAAGATTTTCAGTTAGAAAGCTTGGTGGATAAAGTTAATTCCTTTTGGAGAGGGTTGTTTCACATTTTCTTCATAGGTTAGTTATTTCTCCCTTTTGTTACAATCGATTCCCCTTTTCAATGAAAAAAATGAAAAAGGGTTATTTACAGATCACATTGTTATACTATGTTTCTATTGCTAAGACAACTGATTTTTAGTAAACAAGATGGAAACTGTTATGATCCTAAAAATTATAAGGGTAAAATACTTTAACCTCACCTGAATTTTCTTGTAAATACAGAAATATCCCCTCTTTTTTAAATTGGACTAAGACCTCCCCTGTGAGAGTTATATCTAACGGAATCATTAAAAGTCTTTTATTTATCCTTACCACTTCATATTTTCAAAACAAGGGAATCCCTCTTGCAATATATTGTTTTTGGTTGTCTTGTCTTGACCCACCCAAGAACTTTTCCAATCAATATTTCTGGAATAAAAAGAAGTTTATAATAGAGGATTCATATAGAATAGAAAGAAGATATATTAAACTTTAAAACCAATAAATGCGATCAGGTATGGGATTTTCCTTGGAGAGGTTTGAAAATGGAACAAGAATTCTTGGGGCGTTGCAGAAATTTAAATTAGAACGTTTTATTTACATAGGAATTAATATACACATATTTGCAACCTTAGGGGAAGCTTTTTTTTTCTAGTGTTTAATCCCTGCTCAAATAGCATAAATAATTATTCAAATCAAAACCTGAACTGATACGAACCGTCATCTCATTGAAGTTAAGCACATTGTAGTCCCTTTTATCACACCCCGATATCATTGAGGCCTCCAGAAAATGTCAATTCATGCCTATTCTTCTCACCTAACACGACTAACTTTCCATTGAATACCCCTTTGCATGCTTTTAACTTAAAACTATTTGTCAAATTGAATCCCAATCCTAACAACTTTTAAGGCCCTGACCTTAATTGGCTCCTCCATCACTATCCCAACTAAGAAAATAAACCCAGAGGCCAGAACTTTGAATCCAATGTTGCAAAGAACAGCTTTAAGCACGGTGTCCTTATTATTTGTGATGAAAGCAGAGAAGCAAACCCAATTCATTGTAGAAGTCTTGGAGGTGAATCTTGTGCTTGTTATCATAGAAAATGACGAGAGAGAGAGAGAGAGTATGATTTGAATTGCCAAAAGGAATCGTAAAGGGCAAAATTGGGTTTTTTCCAAAAAAATAACCTACATATGCCATCACATTTTAACAGATTTTGATGAATTACTATATATGGGAGATTTTTGTCCCATGATATCACTTAATATGGGAGGTCTTAGTCCAATTTAAAAAAAAAAAAAAGAGGAGATGTTTCAGTATTTGTAAAAAAAAAATCAGGGGGAGTATAAGTCTTATACCCAAATTATAACTAGATAGTGCACTTGGTGATGGTCCTCGTAGGTTTGCCTCTTTTTGCAGGGGCAAACCAAAACCAAACTTCATTAATCTGAAAAGATTCTATTAACATAAACTTTCAAAAAATATGGAATATAATGATGCAAATTTTATGGTACAAAACTTGTTAGGTATTGATAGTACTGGTACCACAAAAACACCATAGGCTGTAAATGTTGTTGGTTGAGATACTAATGTAGCACCCATGTATGCAAGGTTTCTATTGTAAGTATTGGTTTCTGGGTACATTTACATTTTGAGCATGTAAGATGTAGATGGTGCCTTCGCTATACTGGAATTGCTAAACATGTTTCTGTACTATATATAAAATTGCTCATATAAATAATACCTGAAATAAAAGAATAAAAAACAAAACAATTATTACTTTCCTTTAACTTGATTAAAAAATAAAAACTAATTATTGAAGCATTAAATGAAAAACAAACTCTTAGAAATCTACTAATAATTAGCCGTTAAAACCCAACTAACTTAAGCACATGGTTTTTTGTTTTGTTGGACAATGATTATGAACTGCATCAAAAATACTTTTAAAACCCCTAAGAGAAAAGAGGCTGAAATTAAAAGTTGCCTCCATTGTTTCATGAATAAATGTATTATCTTGATCCTCCACAAAACAACATGTCATAAAACCATACATTCTAACCATGTTCACAAATCTAGTATAATGCGTGCTTTGGTATAATAGGTCAAACCAAGGATATAAATAATCTCTAATAAATTCTATTGAATTGAAAATGCATTTTCTACGATGGTTACTATTTTCGGAATTTTATCATCAAACAAGGCTGTCTTTTGGGTTAAATATCTAAATATGAGTTAAATTTGTTTTGAATGACAAGCTTATTATATATCATCCATGTCAAACCCATCAAGATGTGAAAGATATTGAGATTCTCTACCAGTGCTCCTTCCTCAGGGATCTTGGGGTCTTACAGTTTTACAACATATAATTATTACAAAGACATAGTAATTCCAATATTGTTTATGTTCCTGAAATGCGCTCCAAGAGTTCATGCCTTGGATAGTGATTGCATAAATATAAACTTTCATATTAAGAAAAGGGAATGTAGGAAATATCAAAAAACCTATATTGAAGTCTGCTTGACTACAACTCCATGATGTATTTTGTGATTAATTTGTACCTCTACTTGCACGAGTGCATTTTCTTTTTTAACATAGAATATTTAAGATGTTTATTAAGATTTTGTTTTCCATATTCAGCATAAACAAAACCCTTGAGCGATACCAACAATGCTGTTACACTCCTCAAGACACCAGTGCGTCCGACCGTGAAACACAGGTTTATGTTTAGATACAATAACTTTTGTCCAACATGTGATGATAATCTATTGTGCAGAGATTTGCATGTTTCAATGAATATTAATTATTTAGATGTTGGATTTAGTTGTTTGTTCCTTGTATTTGGATTTCTTTTTAGTTTTAGTATGTAAATGGCTTCACCCAGAAATTGAAATTAAGCATCTTTTGTAAACTTATGGAACATTTAGGGGGCGTTTGCCAATGTGAGCTATATTCAATTTTGACCGCCTTCAAACGTCAAAATCACATCAAAATGGCTCAACTACATTTCTTTCTTTACCATTTTAAAACTCACCCTTTAGTATATATTCCCATCATATCTCCATTTTAGGTAGTCTTCAATTGGTTGTTAATAAAAACCTCTGATGTAGTTGAAAAAACTTAGCCCACTTCTGGAAGTGAAGGCGTGGTTTGAGCTATGCAAACCAAAAACCCAATTCAGATTGTTTTGTACCTCACTTATTAGTTGTGTTCTGAACCATGCAAAAAGAGTGTCAACTTTACATGGTTCTGTGTTTGAAAAGCGTCAGTGAGAATTCTTTACTGGTCGAGAACACAATATCTTAGAGGATTCAAAAGATGGGGAATTTGCAGTTTTAGAACTTAGGTTCAGTTTGGAAAGAGTACAAAACGCTTAAGAAGAGAAACCTGGGATGAAGTACTACCTGAAAACACGCTTAAAAAGACAACAGTTTTCCCTTCATGTTTTGTTGGCATGGTGACTTGGATCTATTGACTACAGTCTTGGGATTTTTTTTTCTTTGAATGCAAGCAGTCTTAGAATTGAACATTTAATCTTTACTCTACCGTTATAATGTATAATTCATAAAACAAAAACGATTTTTTTTCCTAGCCTCCGACAGAGAAGTCCTTGTGGACAAGGTATTATCATTGCATAACATAGTCTGCTTGTTACAACTGCACTTTATATGATCACAACAATTTTGGTACAGATTCAGTTTGATATGTTCTTGCAAAATAGATCTGAATTAATTTTATTTATTTCAAGGTATCTTAGGGAGCCTTTGTTCAGGAATTAAGAATATTAGTTTGATGTAGAAGATGAATGGTTGCTGGTAATTTTTAACTTCTTTTTCCTTTTCTATTCCCACCCTCTTTCTCTCTCTCTCTCTCTCTTTCTTTTGTTCTTTTTGTTGGTCGATGCAGAGCTGGTACCAAGAGGTGTCCAAGTTAAAGGCAAAATATGAATCTCTGCAACGCTCACAGAGGTAACATGATACCCAAGACAGGAAATTTTGTCCATCATATTCGATTCATGCAGCTGGAAAAGAAAAACCACTTGAAACACTTATGCAGCTATGGATGCATGGTTTTAATTTAGTGTCAGTATAAACATTAAACTACGATAGTTAGTAATTACTACATTCAATTCTTGATTGGAGCATGCTAATTTCCTAATTCGTACCATATGGCAAGGCATTTGCTTGGAGAAGATCTAGGACCACTTAGTGTGAAAGAGCTGCAGAATCTTGAGAAGCAGCTTGAAGGGTCTCTCTCACAAGCTAGACAACGCAAGGTATTCACAAGATTTGGACAAATACCAAGTTTTAACATGCATTCTCCTTTTTCAGTCTTTTCTTTATCTAGTTAGCTTATGTAGGAGATTGGTTTAGTAGAATTTGAACCTGTACTAATATTTCTCTCCATCCTGCTGTAATCGCTTGAAATTAGATAGATGATAGAAAGTGTTTGAATATTACCATCATATAAGCCTTATCCCAACTATATGCGATCGATCGGCTACATGAATGCTGTTTCGTTATTCCCTTCTGTTTAATGCCATATCCATATATCCATATAAATTATTTAGAACGAGTATGTCTTCTTTTACTCAATTAACTTCTGCACAGTTCTCTCTTATGCCTCTACTAGTAGTGGTATTCTCTTCATTTGAACCTATCGCACGATAACAGTCTTCATCATTCTTTTTTAGGCAAATTTATGCAGAAAAACAACCTTAATTAGTAATATATATATTGATCTTATGATTAATTGCTTTAATGCAGGCGCAAATAATGATGGAACAAATGGAAGAACTCCGCCGAAAGGTAAATACTTGTCATGGCTAACATATCGCTGAGATTTTTCTGCTATCTTGGTCTTAAGAAATTTCAAATTTGGATTCCTACCCTTGAGGAAATTTGCTAGAGTTCTGGAAACTACGACTTACCATTTTGGACAAGTAGTTTGTCAAGTACTTGTATAAAAGCAAATGCACATGTGAAATTAACCATATATCACATATGATGTTTGGATTTAACTTTTATGACCTACATTGTACCCAAGGCAAGTATCTGCTGTGAAGAATCGATAATCTTGTATTTTTCTGGTATAATGAATTTTATAAAGCTGATGGGCTTTCGGTTCTATACTAACAGGAACGTCATCTTGGAGACATCAATAAGCAGCTCAAAAATAAGGTATTGCTTTGACTGTCGTCTGCTCTCTGGACTCGGTGAAAGTGAAGCACTCTGTTGTTTTCGTACTGGCTGGCATCGACTACCAACTGTCATTAACATGCACAAAATTATTCCACATTTTCCCTATGCTGATAATCTCTGTTTTTTGTTTCAGCTTGAGGCAGAAGGACAAGGTTCATTCAGAGCCATCCAAGGCTCATGGGACTCCATTACAGTGGTTGGAAACACCACCTTCTCAATGCAGCCGTCTCAATCCAATCCGATGGACTGCGAACCCACCTTGCAAATAGGGTTCTCTCTCTCTCTCTCTCTCTCGTGCAATGTTTAAGATATGAGATACTTACATATGGTGCTTCTAATTGAAACAGGTACCATCACTTTGTTCCACCAGAAGGAGCAACTGTTCCCAGAAGCGTCGACTGTAACTTCATTCAAGGATGGATTCTCTGAACCAATTTGAACAAAACAGACATAAATTATGTGGTTGACTGAAAGTTCTAGATTTAATTGGCTGTGCTAAGTTACAACTTTTTCTATTACATTCATGTATGCTAAATGCTTCTATGGCATTTCCTGGTGGGGCACTGGGGATCTTTTCTTCCTGGATTATTATTAGCTTTTGTATCTTTTCTGATCACAAGTTTAACAGTATTTCAAGTCCAATAAGATGAGATGACTCTCAAAAACCTATCCCAATCACGCTCCAACAATTTCTCATCCTTCTATGATACCTCCATTTTGTCGAGTACATGGTACTATGGTAGTCAATGAGATATAAGGTGAGTCGGTAAGCTATCTCTTTAACCTTTTCATTTCTTCTCTCAGATATAAACTGATGTTTCTATTCATGCGACACCAAAAAGTTGTGCCACACTTACAGGAATAAACAGTGTCCCTTGTGACACGGGCACATTTGAACTAAAATAATACTTTATTTTGGAATTCTTTTTTTTTATAATACTTGAATTCATTATTTGGCATAGTATTTTTCGTAAAAATGTGTCATTCATGGTCATGGAAGCTTTGCTCGCTTCCTGAATTCCATTCAAATGATCAAAATTAAAATGAAAAACTCAGAAACAAAGGAGCTCTAGTTGAACCCAAATTTACAGTGCATGAACTCATTGTAAAGACTTAACTTGAGTCAGTGATAAAATGATACATCAAAATTGAATCTTTAACTTAGTTAAATTCTTTAGTGGTAAATATACATTGTAAAACTTAACCATTGAAAAATAAATAGATTACGTGGCCTAGTTAATATGATTGATTGAAATCTTAATTTAACATGCAGCAAATATTTAAAATGCAGACTCTAATTTACATTCTCAATTTCTCACTTACTAAACAGATTTAGGTAGGGTTTTTGTCACCCTTTTAAGCAATCTACGTAAAGCTCTCTCTCCCGCTCAACTGCGTTTGAGTGGATATGAAAGACAGCCCTCTCTCCGTAGTCGGTGTCTATATGGTGCTCTTTCTGTGTATGCTGCAGAACCGAAATTCATCCCCTTTGTGCATTTTGTTTTTTAAAAGGTACAAAAGAGCTTTCTGGTACTCGATCGGTTTTCAATATTTCTATCAGTCAAAATATCAACTCCATCCATCTCCTGGCTGAGGTCGTACACTGTTCCTGTAACGAAAAATAACCTTTGCAAGTTTGCATCTTGTAAAGACAACAGCTCGGATTTGTTCAAATCGGATCTGGGTTGTTTATGATGGATCGATCCAATCGAATTGGACCGGTCCATCGACAACCCTGAATGCCGGGCAATTGTATATTTCTTACGATATCCACCCAAGTTCCGATATTGAAGCTACTCTTAAGCTTGGGATATGATATTTAAGGACCAATCTAATGTTTAGGTTGCAGCACCTAACAGATACTGTGGATGGGACCATTTTGATCCTGTTTACAGTAGAATAAGGCGTTTGGTTTTGTGGGGATTATTCTCATCCACAAAATACTGTGGATAGAGATGAGCCACACGGTCCACGCCCCAATATATTATAAATATTATTTTATTGTGGATGGGCCACACTGTGGTGTGAGCAGTTTGTGAGAAGGATTCGATGTAATGCACCTGTGTTATTCAGCCCAACCACACTCATTTTATTTTTTCTTAATATATTTTTATTTATATTTAAATTCATTTTTAAAATGTTTATTATTAAAGATAATATTGTAATGATTTTTCTAAACATTAAACATTTTTAATTAGTTTTATCATCATTTTCTATTAATCAAAATGGTTTTGTACTATTGCAAATATTCATACTAGTCAAGACCTGTGCAATGCACGGGCTTTATTTATCAACAAAATTGAAGATGGAGCCCTATGACATTTCCAATTAAATGGTGCCCATCTAAGTTTAAATCAAGTATTATTTTTTGGGGTTATGTCTAATTTATCCAATCACAATCTAAGTTGTGTTTTAGTGAGAGTGGCCAATTTCCTATTTTCTAGATAAATTTGTATTTTTTTTGTATCTTAATGCTAATTTTTATTAATTTTTTGGAAATGGTTTTTTATTAATTTGTATTGGTTTATTATTATTTCTGTATTATTTTTAGATAAAATTATTAAAAAAAAAAACCTCTTTAGTAATAAAGACATTAAAGTTACCAAAATACCCTTATCATTGTTAATGCATTATCATACATAATTTAAAGTATGTAGACAGTGGTGTGGTGTGGATTAGTCCTTTTCACAGGATGTGATGTGGTGAGTCTTGAGATATCAAGTAAAAGAGGATAAGAAAAGAATAGTTGCATTGAATAATGGTGCAATCCATAGCTTGACCTTGGCCATCTAAACTGGTTTCTTCAGTTGACACCATTGATTAATTATCGTGTTTGGTCTGGTCAAGTTCAGATCTGATCCCAACAACAGTCTCAAGAGCCATTATAGACATACATCAAGAACACCTCCTTTATACTTCACGGCAATATGTTCCCAATGTAGGGCATTTTTGGTGGGAAATTCCCAATGTAGGGTGCAACCAAAAGACTTGGGATTACAACTTCAGCCTCATTGTTAAGCCCGATTTGCCCAACCTAGATTAAGTCTAAGGTTGTATTTGGCATTCTTTATTCTAAGGATTTGTCTCCTTTTTGCAGTTAAAATACCCTTATGGACACTGAGTTTTTAACTACAAAAAGGAGATAAATAATGCCAAATGCAGCTAAAATCTTCCACCAGAGATACACTACCAAAACAGCTTTAAACACATATATAGCTGCACATCTCAAACATGATTGTGTTAGCTAGAAGCAAGTCTGGGCTCACCTAGGCCTGGACCAAACTGTTATTGGACAAACTCTGGTCGGGTTGTTGCTCGGGCCAAGTTCATGTTAGTTAATCATGCTCAGTGGGCCTATTAGGCCCAATGTGTTAGAAAAAAAACTATTCTAAACTTGCACCAGTAATTTAAATCATTAAATAGGAATTTTATATAGCCTAGGGGCCATTACTTGGTGCAATAACTTGAACCAATATTTAAAGGCTATTACCAGATAGCTTGCACTTGCAGGGCCAACTTGGCCCAGCCTGTGTAGAATTTCACGGTGAACCACTTTGGGCGTGATTTTTTTTTTTTAATGCCTAAAGGCAATTCTATTCATAAATGCTCAGGTTACAAGGTAGAAAATGTGAAGTAGGAAAGGGAAACCAACAACTGTAAAAGCAATGCAAACAAGATACGATTAAAACAGATAACTAAGAGCATCGGGAGAAAACAACTTGAGAAATCTCTGCAAATGGCGCAAACTCAGAAAATGCCAAAAGGTCGGCTAGATGCCTCCAATAAAGATGAATCCAATAAGTGTAGCTCCCTACTATGTGGGACCTAACCAACAAGGCATATCCCACAAAAGGGGGATAGAGAAAACAAGAGTCATGGCACCCCCAGTCCATGGCAAAACACAAGAACTCAATGTAAACGTGGATGCCGAGAGGCCCAAAAGCTTCTCCCACAAACACATTTGTTATGCCCAAGTTGCTTGAAATCCACACAACAGACTGTAACCCGCCAAACAGCCATGGAATGGACCCCACAACAAAAGCAAGAAATCTACATAGGACTTTGTAACTGTAGGGGCACAAAACACTCCCTAGTTACCCAAGTCGTTATGCAACCAAGGGGATGTTTGCAAGCGTTGCCGTTTTTCTGAAAAACGATGCCATGTTGGATCCATGTAGGCGATTCAACAAACACCTACATACATGATTATTTGGTTCAAGTGTTTTTTGAAAAACGGGCATGTCTCGTAAATCAAGACCCAACCGTTGCATGAAACGTCAAAGTTGGCGTTTCATGCTTTGGTGAATCGTTGCCCCCAATGGTTGACTGATATGGTGAATACATAGCAGAAAACCACCTTACCAAATATGCACATACATGAAAAACAGTGATAAAAATCACCTTACCTAACAGCATAGTATTGCTCACTGCCTGCGTGGCAGAAACACTCCCAAACATATCAATGTGTTTTTCTGTGAAAAAACGGATCTAGTAAGCATGGGCGTTTATTTTTTTTATTTTTTTATTTTTTGAAAATCAGTCCCGAAAAACATCCATCCTTCAAAACACCATCCAAAACAGTTGGAGCATAGACATTGCTGGAGAAAACCCAAAAGTCACCTGAAATGGTGGCCGAGAAACAAAGCATCAAATGCAGAGAACAACTCCAAAAACGCCTTAATCCAACACATTGAAAGCAAAAGCGCTGGAGAGAAAGCAACATCAACCTCTATGTTCAACATCAAGAGTAAAAACAACCACATAATAAGCCCAAAATCCGGTCGGAAGTGGCACTAGTGTCGGCAAACGAGAAGCAAACAGAATCCCCTTCAAATAAACTTAATTAAAAGGGCAAAACCAAGCTTCAAAGAAAATCATATCTAGACCATCCCCAAATTAACGTCTGAAGTGTTCAAAGGAAAAAGAAATAAAGTCCCACGGCAGACCCCAAAAAGTGCGCCTCACACAAGTAAGTAGTAACCAATACCAAACAGTCAGGAAAAACGAACAGAGATTGAACAATGTCGATGAGGAACAGAACCAGAGATCTGAAATCTTCTCCATGGGCCTGGATCAAAACCGTCAACAAACCCAAAACTGCCACAAGAATCTCTCCAATCAATGCCGATAACAATAGAACTGCAAAGAATCTCACATCCATAGATGTGTGTGAGAGAGAGAGACAGAGATTCCTAAACATTCAATTAAACTTGGGCTTGAATTGGGCCCATGCAAGTTGCACCCCTGTTCATATCATCAAGGTGGCAAAGTGGCAATGAAAAGTTTAAGATGATAAAACTGTATTTAACGTTTATAAAATAAAGTTCTTTTATAAAATTCAAAGTATATATTTTAAAGAGAAGATTAATATTATTATCAAGGGAATTTGATAAAATACTATCTCTAGAATAACAAAAAACAACATACCTATTTTTATCTTATTTCCATAATTATGTTCCAGTAACAAACGTGAAACGCCTGATAAATTATTAGCATGGTGTTTGGAAGCGTAGGTGCTTTTTGGGACCGATTTTCAAGAAATAACATCCATGCTTCCAAGACCCATTTTCACAAAAAAAACGCTTCTGCCATGTAGGCAGTGAGCAACACTATGCTATTTGGTAAGGTGATTTTCATCACCATTTTTCATGTATGTGCTGACAGGTAAGCACCAC